GGGAGTCTTATCTTATCTTATCAGTTCAGTAGAATAGATTAGTAGGGAGTCTTCCTAATTAGCAAGGAGTCTTCCTAAAAGTAGGACTCTTATCTCTTGTAATCTCCTATTTAAGGAGCTGATATTATTCAATAAAGGCATTGAAAATTTCAGTCAAGAAGAGAGTAAGGAGAGTTAGGTGATCTCTTGGACAAATCACCATTAGGGCAGCCAAGATAGGTTCATCAAGAGCAGGGAGGAACAAGGGAAGACAGGAGGTTTTCCCCGTGGACTGACCCATGACGAGGTCCTATTCGCGGGTCCATAACATAATGGCACCCATAATTAACTACATGAAGGGTGAGTTCTTATGGTCTCCCACCTAAGTCTTTTGAAGAGATCAAGAAGAGACTAACAGCAGTACAAATCCTTCGCCTCCCAATCTTTTGAGAGCACATGAGGTAGCTTATGATGCCAACCATGTTGGGATTGGAGCACCCAACCAAGAGCATAGCCCAGTGGCTTTCTTTAGTGAAAAACTTAATGATGCCAAGAAAAATACAGCACCCATGACAAAGAGTTCTATGCTGTAGTATAGGCCTTAAGTTATTAGTGACACTATCTCATCCCCAAAAGAGGTTGAATCAACATGCCAAATTGATTGCATACCTCCAAGAATACAACTTTGTGTCGAACATAAGCTATGAAGGAGAAGTTTATATCCTCTCCACCAAGGTTGTATAGGCTTTGAATTGCTCAAGAGACGTCATCCTACATGTCAAGATTTCAGCATTATCTATGCAGATTTGCAATCAGGAAAGCAGCATACCAAGACTTTTCTTTACATGATGGCTCCGTCTTTGATGGAACTCATCTTTGTCTGCTTAATACCTCACTTAGGGAAGAGATAATTTGGGAACATGTAGGGGTGGCAACAAGTCATTTTGAAAGGGACAAAACTATTGCCACCACTGAAGATTGTTTATTGGCCAAGACTTGAGAAGGATGTAGCTAATGTTATCAAATAGTGAGGTACGTCAACTAGCAAAAGGAAGGAAACAAAATACTGGTTTGTACATTTCACTCCCTGTTTCACATTCTCCTTGGCAAGACCATAGCATGGATTCAGCCTCTCTAAAACTCTATAGGGGCATAATTCCATTTGATGCTGTACACATTGACCATCTATTCTTTAAAGAAGTTGTGTGCTTGCATGGCTTGCCCAACACTAATGTTTCCAATAGAGATGCCAAATTTATGAGTTAGTTTTTGAGGATTCTTTGGCGTATGCTGAATACTAAGTTGAAGTTCTCTTCAACTTTGTTTTTTGATGATAAACATAGAACTTTCATTAAAGAATAGAGAAATAAGTACAAAGAAGAAGGGAAGAGGAAAAACCTCTTAACCCTCCCCTAGGGGAAACAACAAACAAATTACAACATAGCCCAAAATGATTGTTCCCTTCCCACCCCTTGCTTAGCAAGACTATCCACAAAGGAATTGGCACTTCTCTTTACCCATTTTATCTGAAGTTCCAAGCCTTGTGCTAACTGATTAAATAATCTTTTTTTCATTTGCAAACTTCCATAGACCACTATCTTCTTTTTGCAGCCTCCACTAACCAGCTTTGAATCCCCTTCAACAATAAGCTTGCGACAATTCAGATCCTTAGCCTTCTTCATGCCTTCCATCGCTGCGAAGACCTCAGCCGGAGAGAGTCTCCAACACCAGAATATAAAAGCTATGACTTTTCCTTCATCATCCCTAAAGGCTCCACCTATGCCCGAAGGCGCGCTGGATTACCCTCACCACTGCCATCAAAATTCAGTTCAATAAACCCATTGGCTGGTGGGGACCAAAGAGAAACAATTCTGGTCTTTGCTAGGGATGAATCTGCCACCTCCTTCCAATTTCTTCTTATCATGTTGGTGGAAACACCTTCAAACAATTTCAGGGACTGCACCCACTGTACCACTCTAATAGTGACTGTCTCAATGGCAGCTTTCTTACTCATTTCCTTGTCAGAGAATATTCATGAATTCCTTTCTTCCCAAACAGTCCAACAAATGGCAGCCCTAACAGATCTCCATAGAGTTCTACCCCTCTTCTTTGGCCATCCGAAAAAAGATGAGGCAAATAAGCTTCATATATCCAGAGGGGGTGTCCACCTGCAATCACACAAGGAGAAAAACCAAAGCCAAATATCTAAAACAAAAGGGCAGGAAATTAATAGGTGATAGTAGTTTTCACCATCAGCCTAACAAAGGACACACCAGTTGGGAGATAAGCACCAATTAGGCCTCTTTTTTTTTTTGAGCAAGTCACAAGTGTTACACCTACCCAGAAAAGCTTCCCAACAAAAAGCCCCAATCCTAGGAGGAATCAGTTTACCCCAAACTTCAAGAACATGAAAGTTGATCTCCAGGCTACCATAACGCTGCATTAAGGCTTTGAAAAAGGAGGCACAAAAAAACATTCCAGGGGAGGTCAAAGTCCAAGTCCTTCTATCCCCCCATCTTGGATCCAAAAACACCCCACCCAAGATCTGAGTTAGACCCGAGACAGAAAGGATTTCAGAATCCCTAAGGCCCCTTCTAAAACCCAAGTCCCAATCAAACCCAGAGCCAAAATCTGAAGGAACCAGAAAAGAGAACACAGGCTCATCTTTAGAGGACAGATAATACAAAGAGGGGAATTGCTCTTTCAAACAGATATCCCCCGCCCAATTATGTTCCCAAAATTTCACTCAATTGCCAGAACAAAGGGCATACCTGATATAAGCCAAGAAGGAAGGAAGAATAGCATGAATAGATCTCCACGGAGAAGCTCATGTAGCCCTAGCCAGGACTCCAACATCCAAACCATCAGTCATTTGCCCATGAATACTTACAATTACCTTGGCCCAAAGTCTATCATTTTCCTTTGGTAGTCTCCATAACCACTTTCTAAAAGAGCCTCATTCCTTTCCTAAATGCCCCCTATACCTAGACCTCCCTTATTCTTTCCTCTAGTAACCATCTCCCATGCAACTCTATTATTTCATTTTTCCTCACCTGTCTCCCAAAGGAAATCTCTCATCAACTTCTCCAACCTTCTACTCATACCTGTCGGGATTCTAAAAGACTGACAGGAAATACATAGGCAGGTTGGATAAAGTGGACTTGATCAAAGTTATCTAGTCGCCCAAAGAGAGGTTATTTTTCCTCACCTCTTAGTGAATCTATGTTCTATCCACAACAGGGATCCAAAAGTTAACATTTCTCGAATTATCTCCTAAAGGTAGGACCAAGTAGCTAAGAGGCCAATCAGTTATATATATAATAATAACTAGTATAATTCTTAATTTTTTATTTTTATAGGAAATTTGGTTCAGAGTCAAGCTCAAACTTACAAGCTTTTGAGTCAAACCGAATTCGAGCTCAAGTCTCTAGCTTGGATCAAGCTCAAGCTCGAGCTTCATAGTTTTTTGGTGAGCCGAGTTCAAATAGCCAAATATTCAGCTCAGCTCAGCTCAAATCCACCCCTAGATGTTTTTAAGTCTCTATTGACCTATGATGTAGGTTTATAAATTTTAACGAAGGGGACATGGTAATGGTATGAGTGAAGCCTAAATATTCCCTAAGGCTATGTTTGGTTTGAAGGACAAGAAAGGGAAAGGAAGGGAAAACCTATACAAAGTTTGTGATGGTTTCCCTACCTTTCCTTATCAAACTTTTTCCTTCAAACCAAACACAGCCTAAGGGTGTTTACAAGATGCTACATTCAAGAAGTTTGGGTCCTTTTAAAATGAAGAAGATCAATTCTAATGCTTATGTAATTGACCTGCCAAAGGATATGGGTATTAGGAGTGTGTTCAATATGAAGTTTTTGGCATGCTGTATCATGGTGATGTCAATATGAACCAGCTAGTAGCCCACTTACCACCAATCCTCTCAAAGGTGGAGATCATAATTGTCAAGGCACCCACCTAGGCGCCTTGCCCAAATGCCTTGATTTTTAGCAACAAGGCGGCCGACCGCCTAGGCGACTAAGCACCCACCTAGGCAACAAAAATGACAAGGCTGGTGCCTTTTATAATATCATTTATATTGTTGTGCCTTATTAATGTATGTGTTAATACATTTTATTATATGCTATATTGATATATATATATATATATCAGTTATACGTTGTTTTAAAGTTTTACAATTGAAATTTAAAATATCAAAGGGTTTTGAGAAGAGAAAAAGAAAGAAAGAAAGAAAGAAAGAAAGAATAGAACAATAAAGTTCTTTTTTTCTATTCTCTCTCTAATTAAATAAAATAGAAATTCCATCCTTGTTTTTTTTGTCTATTTTAGTTTCCATCTTGAATATTTATGATATAAAGTTCAGAACCTTCTTTAGCTACTAATTAATATGAATTTGCTCTATTAAATACTTATTATAGCAGTATTATTTTTGGGAATAATGAAATTAATATATGTAAAAGATTTTAATCTTTT